CCCACCCTTTCTGCACACATGCCTTTACCAGATTATTTTCCCCTGCACTGGTGGTTGTGGATGTTTGGCGTAGTAGTTAATTGTGTTGGGAGAGGGTAGTTTGGCAAAGGGCTGTTAAAGGGGGTGATGGACGGTTGCCATCCTTTGCTGGGGAAAGGAGAGTTAAGAAAATTCAAAGCACAGAAAAACTAAAAGTGCGTGAAATTTCACACCCATTGGCCACCTACTTTTAAAGAGAAGTAGGAATTTATTTCCCCTTTTAAGACCATTTTAAAACGTAATCCTAACTCCTGAGTTGCTACCAGGTGCCTCCAGAATAACAGAAACTATACTGCAGCTTTAACAATGGAAGCGTTCAGCAAAGAGCTGGAGGGCTCAGAGGGGCTCCTTGCTAAAATTCTGTCACCAAATGGAAAGGAATTATGAGGAAATTTCCCCTGCTTTAGATGGGGTCAACCCCGCTCCACTGATGATTGTACCAACTTTCAGGCATTTAAAAAAGCAACAAATCCAGGGAAGGACAGTGTGGATCCCCCTATAGGCTCCCTCCCCCATTTCAAACTACACTAGCTGAATACTCCAGTTCACTTAGTGCAATTCTCAGGACCAAAGCAGAAACATTTCCAGTGAACTGCATGTGACGTAAGCTTGTTTGCTAAGCAGTGATTCTGCTCTGGCTGTGGTTACAATGACAGAGGGTTATTCCTGAAGTGACCAATGAATGGATTCTTGACCCGTCTATTCTCTCCAAGCATACACACCCATGGCTCCCATTTAGCCAGGGAGACGGAAGAACAACTTAATAGGAGCCCCTTGTTTGAATATTAGCAGCACATTCCCAGAGACATTACCACGCTCCATAATTATCCCCAGAAACAACTCCACCCGTATATGAATTTATATTAACTGTTGTGTGGCTCTGATTATACCTTTCCTTTTTAGGTTCTGAGAAAAATACCTCACTGGATTACTCAGCCCCTAATTTTATTAAAAGGCATGAAGCTATCAGTGCCCAGGAGCTGGTGCTACAGCATTGTCAGCAGTATGCAGTCTGTGTGATTTCTCACCACAGGAGATCAAGAACAGCCCAAACCTAACTGTGTACAGCACATGATGCAAGACTTGCTTTTTCACAACATCCTTCCTACAATGACAAGGCTGAAGAAAGACCAGACTCCACAGATACAGATAGAAAATGACAGAGAGAAGGGAAAAAGAAATTAAAAACACAAGGAAAAGTATGGGAAAAAATCTAGCAGTAGAGAGTAGAGACCATTCAATATACAATGATCCCAAACTGGAACTTCATACCTGGATTAGGTATGAAGTGATTAGGTACTTTATAAATATCAGTTTAGATTAGATAGTTTTATATTGAGTTATTGGACAAAGAAACCTGTATCTTCAAGGTCAGAATGGATTAAAAGACCAGTCCTTCCAGGCTCTGAGCAGGAAATCCTCAGAACCTTTCTGGCCTTTGCCTGAGGGGGCATGTATACTTGTATCCTATAGAACATACTACTTATCAGCTCAGGGATCCACCAAAGACATTTAAGACTTGGGATCTATATATGAGCTAAATTTGATATTTCTATTTTAAGTAGGTTAAGTTGTTGAGTATATATTTTTCATAGGGTTTTTTATCCAATTACTTAAGTGTAAAGCACCTTCTATATTTATATTATATTATATGAGGTATGTTTTATAAGGTATATTTGATGTTAATTTTTTTTTTAATTAAATTGTAAAATAATAAAAATGAGCATAAGGAAAAAAATTTCCACCTTGCTATTGACCAAAGGTTAATGTACAGTGTAAGTGATGCCTGTTGATTTTAGTATTACTTCATTGTTTTTACAATTTTGCTGATCTTAGATTTGCACATGAGATGTTTGGGGACAATTATGAGTTTCTTGAAGATAAGTAAAAGTAAGGAATGTGCTCCCATCCAACTGGCCAGTTTGTAGTGCTGGAACAAAGTTAAAACAGTGCAGAATATTGTCTTCACTGCTACCCAGGACCATTCAAAGCTGTGTGTGAAAGGAGGCAACTGTAATTCAGATTCCTACCCGCTGTGCATTGGAGAAGTGAACAGAGATGTGAGGGGGATGGTGGTGGTATGTGTGTTTTAAGCCATGTAGGAGACATTTTACAGTATTGAAACTTCACTGGAGTGTGATGCAACTCATTAGACAGGACACTCCTCTCTTAAAACCCAGATTGGCTTCCATCCCAGGCTGATACTGTGAAAACTTGCTTTCTGTAATTTGGTGGCATCAAAAAGTTGACTCATGACACTGGAGTGATAGACAATGTTATTTATATTTTTTTAAAAGTCCTTCAATGTTTAAAGATTCTTGTGTTCTTTTGATTCTCACATCCCTTGTTTTGGGTCATTGTCCTGCAATGTGTACCAGATCTGGGCTCTGGAGACTGAGAGATGTTGAATAATCTGAACTGCCTGTGATGTGCTCTAAAACTCAAAGGGCGGCAGCTTAAGAACATCCCCATTATAAAACAGTCCTATAGAATATAATAGAGATGAAACCAGCACGGTTCTATAGAAAAGTAATAGGGTTCTATAAAACATATAGGCCTGGTCTACACTAGGACTTTAATTCGGATTTAGCTGCGTTAATCCGAATTAACCCTTCACCCGTCCACACTACAGAGCCAGTTAATTCGAATTAAAGGGCACTTAAAATCGATTTCTGTACTCCACCTCGACGAGCGGAGTAGCACCTAAATCGATTTTGTTAATTCGAATTAGGGTTAGTGTGGCCGCACACCACCGAATTACTGTGTTTAAGTTAATGGGGTAGTGTGGCCGCACACCACCGAATTAATGTGGTTAAAAACCGAATTAAGGTGCTTAGTGTGGCCGCGCACAATCGAATTTATACAACCTGTTTCCCAAATTCGAATTATCTAAATTCGGATTAATCCTGTAGTGTAGACATACCCATAGACTTAATGAATTATATCCCTTCCATTGGTGCTGCAATATTATCTGCTCCCCCCAATCTCTGAAGGAGGCAGGTCATTCTCATTCTTGATACTGACTTAGCAGCCCTGAATCAGGAAGGATTTTCTTCTCCCTGCTTTCCTCTCTGGCTTTTAAGGGTAGCACAGCAGAATCGGGATCAGGAAACCACTAACTTCTGCTGAGGTCACTGTGTGCAGGGGAGAGCAGTTACTACAATTGTTCCCAGCTGCCCAAGGGCCCTGCCTCCCCTTCTGCTCTGCAGTCACCTGTGCAAGTATAACACTGACAGACCTCGGTCAACGGCGGGCAGGATTGAACTGGGGACCTCTGGAGCTTAGTGCATGAGCCTCTACTGCATGAGCTAAAAGCCAACTGTAGCGCAGACTCATTTATCTCTCTCTTTAAGTGGTCTTGGTGCAGTAGATGGGACAGAACCACACCCAGGAGGTGTGTGGGTTACACAAGAAGGCAAGGGATTGGGGAAATAAGAGTGAAGAGGAGAGTAGAATGAAGAGGAGAACTCAGGAGATGAGAACTGAAGGAGGAGAGAGCAAGTCAGGGAAACAAAAGCAAGAGAGGAGAAGACAACTGATGGAGAGAGAGACACAAGAGAAAGGGAGTGAGATTGCAGGAGGCAGGAGAGGTGAAGGGCCAATAGCAGTGGAGGTGGAGAATGAGGGTGAGAGAGATACACAGGGTAGAATGACAATGTGGGAATAGAAAACCCAAGACGGGGGGGGAAGAGAACAAGATGGAAAGGGGAGGCCTCCCTGGAGGGTGGGGAAAAAGGAACAGAGAATCCAAGGAAGGAGTGAAAGGAACTGGACCTGGGGAGAGAAAGTGCTCTAGGGGCTGGGGAGAGTAGACTCAGAAGGGGAGCAGAAGACCTGAAGAAAAGAAAAATGAAGGAGATGTACAGAGAATCCCCAAGGTGGAGGGGAATGGGAGAGGTTAGAGGCCATGGGGCAGGATAGCAAAGAACCAGGAGAAGGAGAAACAAGGAGCACTTGCTGTTTATCGCACTTTCCTTCCATATAACTCACTGCACTTAACAAAAATGGTTAAGCATCATTCACCCCATTTTAATGATGGGGAAGCTCAGGCAGAGAAGAGATTACAATGAAAGACATAAACTAAAGTAACTTATGCTGCTCAGTGACAGATTCAGGGGTAGAACTCAGACTTCTCCACATAAACATCTTGGAGAAAGAGAGAAAAGGTTTCACATGGAGAAATAAATACAGAAAGAAACACCTGAAAAGAATATAAGATCAGAAAAAGCTAAATTTAGGGGGGGAAATGACAGCAAGAAACAGGAAAAAATCAACTGAGGTATAGATAAAATTGTCTAGAACCCCAAATCCTCCTTTTTATATCGGCAAGCACCAGTGAAAAGTGAAATTAAAAGAGAATTGAATTTGCTAAAAATAAGAGGGAATAGTCCATGACTTAAATAGTGACACAAACCATTTAATTAGCATGAATGTAAACCCAACAGAGCAGTTTTATAAACATTCCAGTGACAGCAGTTGGTTTTAAAGAAATAAAGCACTCCCCTGCAGTGTTTTGCAACTCAAACGTTACAGCAGAGAATCTGAAAATGAAAGTAACTTCATTCATTTTACTGCCCCGGCTGAGAGAAATGCACAAATTAAATAAAGAGCACAAATAATGATAAGCAAGCTGGGTTCTTTACATTCTTTCATTTGGGTGTTGTTAGTAAATGCCTTTGTTTACAACAGGTGGCTTTTTAGCTTACAGATAAAAATCAAAGTCAGGTTATAAACACTTCTGTTTAAAAGTTTTACCTTATTTCATCTTATCCTCCTCACACATTCTTTTCCACTCAATTTTAGATGCTAAATAGGTCAAGTTTAATTGCCAATGAACTGTGTTGCTAAACTGATTTGACAGCTTTAAAATAAATAGGTGAACACAAAAATATACCTTAACATTTAATATCACTGCTTCTCACTGCATTGAGAGAAAATTTGTAAAACTTCTAAAAACTTACTGGCAGGTGACACACTGCAGGCTGCTGCATTGTTATCTCTTGGGTGGCTGAGAAGAGTAAGAGCAGCTACAGCAGCTGCTGCACTATAAAAAGTGTCATCTTAATGTCAGAGGAGGAGCAATGATTGAGGAGTTGGCGTCACAAATGCAAATATTTCACAATTTATTCAGCTGCACAGCATTTTTTTCTGCCCTGACCAGAAACTTTAATGAAAGAAAATATCTACGACAAAAAAGAAATATAGCGACAAGGAGGCTGATCTAATCTCATTAAAGTAAATGGGAATTTACCCTCTATTTAAATGGGAGCAGCACTTCAAAGACAATGCAATCGCTATTAAAAATTCCAAGGCTTAAATCTGTTGTGGTCTGTGACACAAGCTAAGGGCTTGTCTACACCGGCAAGTTTTGTTGCCAAAAACTGCCTTCGGCAGCTGAACCCTGGTTTCCCTGATCACCCTCAGCAGCGAGATGTCAGCCAGCAGGTTGGCCGCCTGTGAAAAATTGTAGGATAATTTTAGAATGAGTCCCCTGCAAGCCGTGACCTTTTTGTCCGTATGCACAACCTCCTTCCCCGCACTCCCAAAACTCACCATGATTGGGGTGCTCGTGGAGCTGTGTCCCCCATTGTGCTGTATAACCTCGCGGAACAGGTCTTCTTCGCTGCGCCGAGGGTTTGTTTCTTATCTGCCGCTGCCGGTCCGCGGTGGGTGCGTGGTGTGTTTTTCAAGGTCTGTGCTGAACAGAAGAGAGATTGTTACATTCTAGCAAACGATTGAAAAAAACCCTTGGCGCAGCGAAGAAGACATGTTCCGCGGGATTATACAGCACAATGAGAGACAGACCAGGGAATGGAAAGAGTGCTGGGAAGCCGAAAGGCAGGACAGAAAAGAGAATGCTGCTTTTTCTAGGCAAGCGACAGAGTGGATGATAAAAGTTATGGAGGATCAGACAGAGATGCTCAAGTCTCTGGTACAGCTGTAGACTGAGCAGATCCAAGTTCGAACGCCGCTGCAGCAGCTGCACAATTCCTTGCCAACCCCACCCCCCTCTATGCCCACACATTCCTTTTCACTTCACTTCATTCCTGAATTTCCCTATCACTCCCCCCCCCGCCCCACAGCTTGCACAATGATAGCTGGAGCTACACACACTTGTGAGGTTTTACCCTTTTTAACAATAAATAAAGGCTAAGATATTTAATGGTACAGCGTTTTTATTCTGTGTTCTACAAAAGCATAGAGCAATCAATTCACTCTCGGGAACAGGTTCCTAAAGCTTTGTGTTGCATGGATCTTGGGCCCCAAAATTGTACATGGATGCAACAGGGAAGCAACTCCAAAGCAGACGTGTGTTACTACCCCTCATTGTCAAAGTGGTTCCTCAAAGCCTCTCTGATGTTAAAGCAGCCCTCCGGGCTCCTCTGACAGCCCTAGCATCTGGCTGTTCAAACTGTGCAGCCAAGCGCTCTGCCTCAGTGCTCCACACCTGAGCAAACATTTCACCCTTAGATTCACACAGATTATGCAAAGTGCAGCACGCGGCTACGACCACGGGAATATTATCCTCGGTAAGGTCTAGCCTGCCATTTAAACACTTCCAGCGACCTTTCAAACGGCCAAAGGCACATTTGACTGACATGCGGCACCTACTCAGCCTGTTGTTAAAATGCTCCTTGCTGCTGTCCAGGTGCCCTGTGTAAGGTTTCATGAGCCAGGGCTGTAAGGGGTAAGCTGGGTCTCCCAGGATTACTATGGGCATTTCCACATCCCCCACTGTGAACTTGTGGTCTGGAAAGAAAGTCCCCGCTTGCAGCTTTCTGTACAGGCCACTGTTCCTGAAGATGTGTGTGTCATGCACCTTTCCAGACCAGCCTGCATTGATGTCCGTGAAACGCCCTCGGTGATCCACAAGTGCCTGCAACACCATGGAGACGTATCCCTTCCTATTGATGTATTCAGAGGCAAGGTGGTCTGGCGCTAAAATTGGAATGTGTGTGCCATCAACCGCCCCGCCACAGTTAGGGAAACCCATCTCTGCAAAGCCATCCACTATTTCATGCACAATTCCCAGAGTCACGGTCCTCTGCAGCAGGATGCAATTTATTGCCCTGCACACATGGAGTAATACAGCCCCAACAGTGGACTTTCCTACTCCAAATTGGTTTGTGACTGACCGGTAGCAGTCTGGATTCACCAGCTTTCACACAGTGATTGCAACGCGCTTCTCTACCGAAAAAGCAGCTCTCAATCTGGTGTCCTTGCACTGCAGGTCGGGGGCCAGCTCAGCACTTAGCTCCATGAAGGTTGCTTTACGCATCCTGAAGTTCTGTACCCACTGGTCGTCATCACCCACCTGCATGACAATGTGATCCCACCAATCAGTGCTTGTATCCTTAGCCCAAAAGTGACGGTTGCCCGTATGTAGCTGCTCTGTGAACGCACAAAGCACTGATAAGTTGCTGCTGTGCATATCGCACTCGGGTGCCTGCGATTCATCCTCTGCTAACTTTACGAGTAACTCTGAGAGTAATTGTGCTGCCATGCACGATGTCCTCACGACAGCTAACAGTGCATAAGAGAGAAGTGCGGGATCCATCCTCTCTCACTGCATATGGTAGCGCGCACTACAGAAGAATGACAGTTGGAAAAATGGTGCGAAAGGAAGCCAGAGACCTTTGGAGGGGTGGGACACAAAGAGGTGCATGATGGTACATTTTGCACATCCCAGGATGCGCCGTGCTCCATTTCCGCATTCCCACAACACCTAGCGACGGATGTTGTCGCCAGGCACTGTGGGATACATACCCACAGTCCATTGCTCTCACTGTCGACAAAGGTGCCACAAATGTGGACACGATCTGTCGACAGAGGGAGCAAATGTAGACACGCTTTGTCGACTTTGCTTTTGTTGATTTTTCCTTGGCGACATTACTTTAACCAAAAAAGCTTGCCAGTGTAGACAAGCCCTAAGGCACAAACAATATCTGTTGAACGCTAATGTAATCCTGAAGTGGGGGATGTCCACTCACGGCATGTCTACACTACAAAGTAAAGTCAACTTAATGTAAATTGACATCCAGCCGCTGCAGTAATTAAGTCAGTCGTATGTGTCCACACCACACTTGTGTTGGTGGATTGCATCCTCGCAAGCAGTGCTTACATCGATACACAGAGCAGTGCTCCGTGGGTAGCTATCCCACAGTGAAACTAGCTGCAGGGGGTTTTGGGAAGGGCTTGCAATGCCTCATGGGACCAAAACATTGTCACAGAGTGGAATGGGAGCATGGCTTTGGCCACACATGGTGCAATTTCCCCCCTCCCTCGATATCAACAGCAAACAACCCATACTTTCTTGCACCTTTTTTCGAAAGCCTGGCTTAGCTGTGCATACACCACAGCCTGAGAAGCATGGATCCTGCTCAGCTGTGCACTATGCTTGTGAGCATTACAAACACTTCGTGCCTTGTCCTGCAGTATTTCCAGAGCCGAGACATAAGCTGCTGTGCAGAACATTGCGATGTCATGCAAGCAGCCCTGCTGCAAGCCAGAGAACGAAACAATTCTATGTTGCTGCTAGCAATCGTGCAGCAGCTGAACATGGTGGAGTGCCGTTTCTGGTCCTGGGAAACAAGCACTGACTGGTGGGATTGCATCATTATGCAGCTATGGGATGATGAGCAGTGGCTGCAGAACTTTCAAATGCGGAAGGCCACTGTCCAGGAACTTTGTGCAGAGCTTTCTCCAGCCCTAAAGTGCAGCAATACGAAAATGAGACCCGCTCTGACAGTGGAACGAGCAGCGAGTGGCGATCTCTCTATGGAAACTTGCAACTCCAGACTGCTAGCAGTCACAGGGGAATCAATTCGGAACTGATAACTCCACTGTGGGAGCTGTTGTGATCCAAGTGTGCACAGCCATTAATCGACTTCTGTTAAGAAGGGTAGTGACTCTGGACAATGTGCATGACATAGTGGATGGTTTTGCAGCGATGGGGTTCCCTAACTGCCGTGGTGCAATAGATGGTATGCATATCCCTATCTTGGCACCAGACGACCTTGCCAAAAAGTACATAAACCATAAGGAATACTTTTCAATGGTGTTGCAAGCGCTGGTGAATCACAGGGGGTGTTTCATTGACATCAACGTGGGATGGTCAGAAAAGGTGCATGACGTGCGCATCTTTAGTAAAACAAATCTGTTCAGAAAGCTGCAATCAGGGAATTTCTTTCCAGACCGCAAAATAACCACTGATAATGTTGAAATGCCAATAGCGATCCTGGGAGACCCAGTCTACCCCTTGCTCCCACGGCTCATGAAGCCATACACCGCCCATCTGGTCAGCAGTAAGGAACAGTTCAACAATAGGCTGAGCAGGTGAGAATGGTGGTGGAATGTGCCTTTGGGCATTTAAAGGGTTGCTGGCGCAGTTTGCTCACTAGGTTAGGCCTCAGTGAAAGCAATATCCCCATTGTTATCACTGCCTGCTGTGTTCTCGACAATATCTGTGAGGCAAAAGGAGAGAAATTTCTGCAGGGTTGGGGTGTGGAGGTAGATAGGTGGGCAGCTAATTTTGAACAGCCAGATACCAGGGCAATAAGAAGAGCCCAGCAAGGAGCTCTGCATCTCCGGAAGGCTTTGAAAACCCATTTCAGTAATGCGCCACAGTAATGTGCACTGCTTATCTGCATTGTGCCTTCCCATACCATCCCCTCCAGACTCTTAGCTCCATCTCAGCTGTGCCAGAGGCATTCATTATCTCACTGAACATGTCATCACACGTCCTCTTTTTCCGCCTTCTAATCTAAGGGCTTGTCTACATTACCCACTGGATTGACGGGCAGCGATCGATCCAGCAGGGGTAGATTTATCGCGTCTAGACATGATAAATCGACCGCCGAGTGCTCTCCTGTCGACTCCGGTACTCCACCAGGGGAAGAGGTGCAGGCAGAGTCGACAGGAGAGCATCAGCCATCGACTTACCGCAGTGAAGACACCACGGTCAGTAGATCTAAGTACGTCGACTTCAGCTATGTTAT